ACCTTGCTATAAAAAAAAATTAAGTTCCGGGGGGGGGAGGGGGGAATATCTCTCACATTAATGAACCGATTTTCAATTTTTTTCATCAAACATTTTCTTTTTTTATGCTCTTTTATTTGATATGTCACAAGGGGTACCTTGCTATTTAAAAAAATTGAGTTGGGGTCAGGTGGGGAAAGGGGGGAATGTGAATGTAACGTTGAATTCAAAAAAATTGTGCCCCCTACGTCAATAGATGATTACCGCCAACTGCATATTTCTATCTTTTGCGGTTTTTACATAAATAAAGATGCAAGTTTTTAAAAAAAACACCCTGTATATATTTAGTATAAAAAAAAACAGATGAAATAAAAGCATAACTAATAAGATACATAAACATACACCATATTTGTCTGTAACTTCGTATGATCAAAAGATGTTTAGTATTTCTTAGGAATAAATAACTGTATGACAAATTACAACAATAAAAGGAGTGTTTGAAAAAACAATTATATTACGGGGTGATTCTAAATTATTGTTTCACTTTTGAAACTCTATAAAAAAATACAACCTATCATTACAGGATGAAAATCAAAAGAGGAAATTCTAAAGTTTTGTTTGACACCACTTGGTAAACACAGTTTCAAAATTAACAAATCTACAGACATCTTTATATTTTAACGACGATTTTAAATCAATTACGCGCTTTCACCTCTCTGTATCTCAAAAATTCAAACTTTTTGTTGAGTTGTCAAAAGATTTAAGTTATATGTACCGTTAGGGGTCAAATAGTTTTATAATTTACCGCTCAGTTATTGCTGTTCGATATTATTATAAGCTGCGAGGAACAAGGCTTTAAAAGAGCTAAAAGTGTTCTGTGTTTTAGAGTTTCATAGATTTTAAATTGTGTAATTAATAGTCTTTAATCGTAGTTAAAATAAAAAAATGTCTGTAGAGGCTAATTTTGCAACTATGTTAACTAAAGTGGTATCAAACAAACCGTTGGTACCTCCACTTTCAATTGTTTCTCACCCCATGATGAAAGGTTGTATTTTCATTTATATAGTTTAAAAATTGTAAGAATAATTTAGAATCACCTACACCTTGTATTTTAAAAAGCTCCATATTTTCACACACCTTACACTACTTTTTAAGTAACAGTTTAAGACAGGGGTGAACACTACATTTAACACAGTTCAAAACCATGTAACTATTCAAATTTCAATAAAACTCTTACAGGTGTTTTTTTTATAAATAACATAGTTTATAAAAGCTAAAATTCAAGAAAATAACAAGTTATAATTACAGGGAAAAAATACACGTTCACACTTATTAAACAAGCCAACATTTTACTTCTAACGTTATGAGAGTTAAAGGTTTAAATAAGCTCAACATTTCCTACGTATAATTGATATTTTTTTTATAAAAAGTAGTTGAATAAGCATTTACTCTTCTTGTTTTGAATACAGGTTATTAAATGTTTAACACTCATTAAAGCTTTTTAATAAAACTAGTTTTCAAGAACATACGAAACACAGAAGTATAAGAAGTCCAAAACAATAATACCGACAATACAGGGTGATTGAAAAGTCTGGGTACGGCTTAATATTTTGAAAAATAATAAACGTAGACCTACAAAACTTGGAATCAAGTAACAAGGCATATAAATCTATCTTAACACATATCCAGTGATCCGCTACCTCATCAGGGGGACGGCCCGCCAGGAGTCAGGAGAAAATCTTAAATGTAAGCATAGGTTGATATGCACATCAAATTAAAGGTCTATTTTTTTAGAATACAACGCCGCAAACCGCACTCAAAAAGGTTGACCCAGTACAAAATGGCAGCTGTTCAAAGATTCAAATAAATACCAATTTCTTTGAATGCAAACAATTTTTATTAAATCTTTAAACAACCGTAGTTTTTTAACGGATGGTCATTTTTAAATGCGGTTTGCGGCATTCTTCTTTGCTTAAAAAGCTCTTAAAAATGATATGCATATCAACCTATGCTTACCTTTAAAACTAGGGTGTTCGAAAAGTTTGGGTACGGCTTAATTTCTGCCATTTCTTACTGGATCGTCGTATTTAGATGTGGTAGGCGGCGTTTTACTCTACCAGCTAATGTTTTTACTGACTTTTGTAACTAGAAAATTATTTTATTAAATGTTATAACACAAAAAAAAGAATTTGTTGTCTTTATCAATAATAATAATTTACTAGTTACGCACTTGCAATGTTATTTTATTCACTAATTTAAAATTACTATCTTAGAACAAAGTAATTACTCGCTAATGATTAGCAAATAACCTTTTTATTTACAATAAATGTTCAAATTGTTCTCCCATTGCAGTTTGACAGTGAGCTAGCCGGTTGTAGTAGCCATCCATAACATTGCGGAGCATTTCAGGAGGTATTTCCGCCGCTTCATGTAATATTCTTTGTTTTAAGTCATTTATGTTATTAGGCTTGGTTTGGTAAACTTTATCTTTTAAATATCCCCAAAAGAAATAATCTAAAGACGGCAGGTCTGGTGATCTAGCAGGCCATTCTATTCTTACTCTCCGACCTATCCATTGTTCTCGAAATGTTTCACCAAAAGATTACGTACATTTACCGCATAATAATGAGGGGGCGCTCCATCTTGTTGGAACCAAATAGAATTAAATTGTAATCCTAAATCTTGGATAGCTGGAATGATTCTGTCAATTAACAAATTGCGGTATGTATCACCATTTAGATTTCCATTGATAAAAAAAGACCTATTACATTGGATCCTATTAGGCCTGACCAAACATTCACTTTTTGTGGATGTTGGGTTTGGGCTTCTTTCTTCCAGTGAGGGTTTGTATCTGACCAGTACCGACAGTTATGTCGGTTGACATTTCCATTTAACAAAAAGCTTGCTTCGTCTGAAAAAAATAACTATGTTTTTAACGAAATTCAGGTCTGTATCTAACCTTTGCATCATTGTATCGCAGTATTCGATACGTCTATCAAAATCGTCCTCGGATAGTTCTTGTACAAGATGTATCTTGTAAGGGTGGTATTTATTAGAATTTAAAATTTTCCATACAGAATATGAACTAATGTTATACTCAGTACCAAGATTCCTAAGAGTCGAATGTGGCTCTTCCATGACTGTTACAAGCACGTCGGTAGCCACATCTTCGTTAGTCGCTGTTTTAGGTCTGCCACTGCGAGGAAGATCTTTTACAGTTCCATGTTCTTCGAAACGGTGGATGGTGGTGACAACACCATTTTTTGAAATAGGTGGTCGATTCGGAAATCGTTCATTAAATAAATCTGCCACGGCTTGATAAGAGCGCTTGAGATCACCATATCCTCTCATAATGAGAATATTAATTCTGTCAATTTCTGATATTTCCATTCCTCTTTCGGTACTAACTTGAAATTAAACAATATTAAACTAGAAACAAATAACACTGTACTCACACTCACATACAATCTAAAAGAACTGAGAACTGATAATGGGATTTTCCGTAACATAAGGGCTGTTGGACTTTGTCTGTTGTTGATAACAACTTGAAATAAAGGAGGGAAAACCCAGGTCATCTTGTCTAGCATTAGACAGTGACAACATTCATGAATGGAATTTTTTCAAACTAGTTAACAGTAAACATCCAAGTTCCTCTTAAATAAATTAGTTTAAACATTTAAAATTATTTAAGAGGATAATTTCAACATTTAAATTCTACCATTGTACCATTGTACCATTTTTTGTTGGTGAGATTAGTTAACTTATCACTTCGTTTTAGAATTAATTTTTTTTACTTTTTATACAAGTCAGAAATGGCAGCGCATAATGTACTTCAATTCACAATGTGTACCTAAAACAACCCGCCATTTCTGTTTGGATACATGTATTTTGAGATGCGGTTTGTGGCATTCAACTCTACTAACTAACTGAGCTCTTAGAAGTAAGGTATCACTCGACCCGTGCTTACATTTAAGATTTCTATGACTTCCTCTGTGGGCCGTCCCCCCATGGTTGGCATGTCATGGCAATAGCAAGGAAAAAGTTTACATCACCATATGACACTGTGCAAAGTTTAATGTTTTCTGCTACGGTTTGTAAAATTTTTAAAAGCCGTACCCAAACTTTTCGAACACCCTAGTTTTAAAGGTAAGCATAGGTTGATATGTATATCATTTTTAAGAGCTTTTTAAGCAAAGAATAATGCCGCAAACCGCATTTAAAAAGGACCATCCGTTAAAAAATTATGGTTGTTTAAAGATTTAATAAAAATTGTTTGCATTCAAAGAAATTGGTATTTATTTGAATCTTTGAACAGCTGCCATTTTGTACTGCGTCAACCTTTTTTAGTGCGGTTTGCGGCGTTGTATTCTAAAAAAATAGACCTTTAATTTGATGTGCATATCAACCTATGCTTATGTTGAGATAAAAAATGATTTACTCAGTCCTGTGTAACAGCTGTATAATGTAATTCTAATTATTATAATGTTTATTTTGTTTAAGTTGTTATGAAAACAAACTATTAGTCTATTAAATGGTTCTTTAACAGTTCTTACATTTTTTTTATCCTACTAATATAATCAGTTTATTACAACAGGTTATGGGCCCAGACTCGCAAATAAATGTGTTTATGGATTTGTTAGTAGGATATATGTGAAAGAACCTGTGATTGGTTGCTGTTTGTCTTTTTGAAAAATCTTGTTCAGTTGTCTTCAAGTGTTTTGACGACCATGGAAATTTCTAAAGTTTATGTAGTTGATAAACTGGAGGGTCAATCCAATTGGATAGATTGGAAATTTCAAGTAGTCATACAGTTTCGAGTTCATGGTGTAATGGAAGCTGTTGAAGGAAAGCTTGTATACCCTGAGAAACCAGGTGATGATGAAGATGCTTCAAAGATGGACAAACATCAGAAATAGGTTGCTGTACTTGAAAAGAAAGAATTTTCGGCACAGAATATCATTGTTTCATCTGTTAGCAGTCAAGTAAGACAGCTTATAAATATGTGTTCAACTGCACAGGAAATGTGGGGGAAACTTTTGAGTATTTTTGAACAGAGAACTGAACAGAGACAAGACCGTCTGTTTAATGAATTCTTTGGAATCAAGGAAGAGGACTCACTTGACAGTGTAGCAAAACTCATAGCAAAGCTAGAAAAACTTTGGGTTGAGCTACAGGACGAAACTTGGAAAGAAGATAAAGTTAAGCTTCCTGATTCATTATTCCTAAATAGGGTGTTGAATACGTTGCCCTGTGAATATAGTGAATTCATTAACGCTTGGGAGTCTGTACCGAAGGATCTGAGGACACTGTCATTATTGAGAGAGAGACTGTGTACTGTTGAAAGAGAATGAAGGAGCGAGAAGTTGGAGGTGTAAAGGAGTCTAATGCTGCATTTTACACTGGTTCAAAACATAAATCTTTCTCACAACCTAACTTTAACCGTGTGAAATCAACATCAAGCATAATTACCGTCAATGATGTTGGAGCTGAAAATAAGAAAAAGAAATGGAGACCTAAATGCTTTTCATGTAACCAGCTTGGTCACATGAAGAGGGATTGTCCTAATGCCAAACAGTCACTAAAACCTGGAAATGCTTTTGTTGGACATTGTGGTCGCTCACAAGAATGCATCGAAGAATGTAATTGGATTGTAGATTCTGAAGCTACGCAGCACATGACAATGAACAGATCATGGTTTGTGACGTATGAAGCATTTTCAACAATTAAGCATGTTGGAGTCGGAAATGGTCAAACCATGGAAGCGCTCGGCAAGGGAAACATAATTGTAGAGATGATTGTGGGAGGAAAATGCCAGAGAAACCATTTGGAAGATGTTCGGTATGTTCCTGAGGTAGGCAAGAACTTATTTTCTATTTCCTCTACGTTGGACAAAGGTATAATTTCTACTTTCAGCAAAGACAAATGTAATTTCTTCAAGAATGGTGTTTTGGTTGCTCAATCACATAGAAGGAATGGACTTTTCATTATGAATATGAAAGTTATTCCTATTAAAGAAGTTGAAGCTCAAGTTGCTTTGAAAGTCGATTTACAACTGTGGCATGAGAGATTAGGGCATCAAAATAAGCGTTATGTTTTGACATACCTTAAGAAAAATTGTATTGAATTCTCAAATTCAGGTACTAAGTCTGAGATATGTGACGCTTGTATTGTTGGAAAAATGCATCGGTTGAGTTTTGGTACTCGCAAAGAACTTGTTAATCAACCTGGTGATCGCATAAATGCTGATGTTTGTGGCCCAATGCCTGTGTTATCAGTTGGTGGCAATCGATATTTTGTTGACTTCAAGGAGCCTGTGGAACAAAACAAAAAGTTTCCTACAACTGAAACCAACTCTTCAGTAACTGCAAGTTTACCTGACAAAGAAGGACAGAGGTGTAGTTTCAGAGACAGATCAAAATTTAAGCCTCTTGTGAAACCTGCTGATTGTGCCCTTCTGACATGTGTTGCAGAACCTACTAAGTGCAAGGAAGCGGTGACATGCAAGGATTCTCATCATTGGGTCAAGGCGATGGATGAGGAAATAAAGGTGCTTAGTCCAGTGTTCTGGTGTAGTAAACGTCAGAAATGTGTAGCTTTGTCAACTATACAGAATTTGAGTTGATTGCTGCAGATTGATGCAAGTTTGGCTGTAGTGGAAGCAGTGTGGCTCAAGAGAATACTTCAAGATGTAAGGATACATGAGCAGCAGTTTTCTTGTCTGAGTAAAGTTTCATTTTTTAGGGGAAGTGTTGAGATAAAAAATGATTTACTCAGTCCTGTGTAACAGCTGTATAATGTAATTCTAACTATTATAATGTTTGTTTTGTTTAAGTTGTTATGAAAACAAACTATTAGTCTATTAAATGGTTCTTTAACAGTTCTTACATTTCTTTTATCCTACTAATAAAATCAGTTTATTACAACAGCTTAGATTTAAGATTTTCTCCTGACTCCTGGCGGGCCGTCCCCCTGAGGAGGTAGCGGATCACTGGATATGTGTTAAGATAGATATGCCTTGTTACTTGATTCCAAGTTTTGTAGGTCTACGTTTATTATTTTTCAAAATATTAAGCCGTAACTAGACTTTTCAATCACCCTGTATGTATATTCATTCAATTCTCATCAGGGAAAACTAGATTTGTAACAATGGTGAAATCATCTCACTTATTAATCAAGACTTACCCAAGTTTTAAAATGAAAAGTCTTATGTAAAGTAGCCAAGTAACAAGTTGGGATTGGATTTCTCCTGTAAACCCTGCTCTGGCTTCGTGCCTTCATGTAGTTTATACGCTTTGTATTCAAGACTAAGCTTGTTTATAAAATATGTTAAACGGTAAAGGGTCTCTTATTTATACAAAAATACATGAATGGGCTTCTTTCATTGAGACGGAATTATTAATTAAGCTATCCAACGAATCAATTAAACGTTCTGTGTTATTCCTAGTATAGAGAACCATCACTGCCTTCTTTTTTATAAGGTGCAATAAATCAGTATTGCACTTAAAACATTTATTACCGGGTAAAGAGTACAGTCACCAAAGATGTAAATGCGTTGTTTAAAATTAGTCTAACTATATTAATATATTTATCGAAATTGTAACAAAATGTCCACAAATTTATCTATCATCAAATTGTTCAGCAGAAACGTTTTTATGCCCATGCAATATAATTAAGAAGGTTAAGATAAGTCTTCCTCCCTTCTCAACACAGAAGCATTGTATCAATTAGATTAAAAATATTCACGTTTTGAAGATAAACGTTTTTAAATAAATATTATTATGCAAGAAAATTGTGTTTTCATCATGCAGTTATTAGTTAAACTCTATCTAAAAGTTTTAGGTTATTTACTAAATTAAAATTTCGAAATAATTATTCATGATTATCAACTAAATTGTGTATGATACAAACTATTCCTACTCTATAATTGTCAAATAGTCCTCAGTCTTAGTTATAAAAACTATGTTTAACGTCCAAGACAGAAACTTTAGCTAATTTGACTAATCAAGGATTGATCATTTCTTAATTGGCAATTAAAACCCTTATCTGAAGTGACGGCTCCCTCCTTCAACGTTTAACGATTCCTTTCTTGTGTTTGATCACTCTGAAGATGGCTGTTGTAATAACAGATTCAGAAACTTCAAGAAATTGTTGAAATATTAATGCCTCAAAGTTTAACAAAATCGATTTATAATTCCATTATACACAACAACAAGCTACTTTGGATTTTGTTATTTTACTCAATGTCTAAAAATGTTTTCAAGAGTGTTTTTAATTCTCAATTTCAAGGAATTTAATTGTTTTATTTTTTGAAAATATGAAACAATCCAACATTAACGTACGTTGAGATTGAGAAAAATACTAAAACTTGAGTCACCAATTACTATGAGCGCTTAAGTAATGGAGGAAAACAAAAACTATATTTAGGAGGTAGAATAAGTTTTTTTAACTTTTTTTTACAAAACAAGCTTGTCTAAATGTTTATATGTGCCCAAGTTTAAAATTGATTAGTGAAACTAAATTCTGAATTCATGAAATAAATTCCGTCGGGCGATATATCAAATTATTCATTACTAAAAAGTCAGCTTGTTTATAATTTTTAAGTAGGTAATGAAAGTTATCTTTCGTGTCAGGATCTCAACCAATGTATATTTAACCTTAATCTATGTGATCCAACAGCACAAACTAAGCGTATCATCTAAGGGGGGTCGCCGGAATTGTACCCCCCGGTGATCGTTGACGTCATTTTGACGTCACGCCTAGAGGGGGTACAATTCCACCCCGTACACTTTGATTTTAACGAAATCTAATCTATTTAATGTTGGCAAGTGATCAGTGAACCGGATAATTATATTAGATATTAAAAAGAGCAGGAGATGTACGGCCCGGAATTGTACCCCCCTGGAATTGTACCCCCCGGAATTGTACCCCCTGCCTCGAGAGGTCGAGGTAGCAATGTTGTACCCAGGATCTCGAGAGGTCGAGGACTACTTAATCGCGGGATAGACTCTTTGCCTATCGAACTTCACTTGCCCGGCTATCAGTACTGTGGCCCTGGGTCAGATTTGAAGAAGCGTCTGGAGCGTGGGGATCAAGGAATTAACTTGTTGGATCGTGCATGTAAAGAACACGACATAGCTTATAGCAAGAACAAAGATCTTCCTAGTCGTCAAGCTGCAGACAGAGTTCTTGCGGACAAAGCTTGGACACGTTTTAGCTCTAAAGGTGTACCGTTTGGTGAGAAGCTCGCCACCTGGGTCGTCGCCAGTGCAATGAATGCAAAGTTGAAGCTCGGTGCGGGTACGGTGAAGAGGGGGGAAGAGCTCGCAAAGCCAAGTCTGGAATGGGTACAACCACTAAACGTAGAAGGACCGTTTGCAGAAAGAAGAAGAGAAGTGCTACTAAGAAACTAACCTCTAAACCTTTTACCTTTTACGACATATTGCGACGGGCAAGAGACGCTGTACAAGGCTCAGGACTGAAATTTCATAAGGAAAGTAAAGATGGAGGTAGACGTCGTTTGAAAAAGGCCGCCACGTCTGCTCTACAAGCTATTAAGTCCATGCGAAGAGGAAAGCGTGCTGCGTTTGACCATTTGCGTCGTAGAGAACGCATCCTCGCATTACCCAAGTCAGGAGGTGTGTTGCCGTTATTGCCAATTTTCGCAGGTTTGAGTGCACTGGGAAGTTTAGCAGGTGGGGCCGCTGGTGTGGCCAAAGCAATAACTGAAGCCAAAGATGCAAAGAAACGCCTGGGAGAGCTACAGAGGCATAACGAAACTATGGAAGCTATAGCTTTACGCAATGGAAAGGGTTTGTTTTTAAGACCTTACAAAAAGGGACTTGGAATTTACATGGCCCCATACCAGAAGCAACCAAAAAACTTGTAAACTTCTTGCCCAAGCGCGCTTTATACGATTTTGACTTAGTGTATTGGGCAAGGAAATTAAAGATTCCAAACTTTAGAGGGGTATTTATGCGGGATAGGCTACCACGAAGCCCGTGGAAAAATGAGTCTGCAATAGTGAACTTGGATGACAGCACTGGTCACGGCACACATTGGGTCTGCTACAAGAAGAATGGAGGGTTTGTAAGGTACTTTGACAGCTACGGAGATCTTACACCACCATTGGAACTTCACAAATATCTGAAGGGGAATTATGTGTCCTACAACAAGACTGCTTATCAGGATGTAGACAATAAGAGTGAAAACTGTGGGCATTTGTGTTTATATTTTTTGTCTGCAACCTAATAAATATCTGTTATAAATAAGATGTTTTAGTCCCTTCCCGTCCAGTCATGTCTCTGACGTTTGTACTTTCGGGTAGGAGTTCTACACTCTCTGTTGACTACTT